AATATCAATGAGAGAGAACATTGACTGGCCGCCTCCTGCATGCTCCCCACTGGGGATTTGGCCCACAACTTGGGCATGGACCCTCAGTGGGAATCAAACCGGTGACCTCTTGGTGCATGGGTCAACAGATACTCAACCACTGAGCCACACCGGCTGGGCTTGACTAATAGGTTTTTGGTCTAATTCTAGAAAATGAAAGGGCTTTATGATCTAATTTGCATTTTAATCTCTTTCCTGCTTTTGTTTTATTTTTATTTTATTTTCCTGTGTTCTTATTCTCACTTTAATAATTTTTCCTTACTTTATATATATGTATATGGAAATATGTATGAGGGTTTTAAAAATTATGTGAAGTGCTTTGGATTTACAGTGTTTGAAGGATATGTAGTATATCAAGCTTGACAAGATAAAGTCCACTTAAGCCTATTTTTTCTACTGATTACAGCAAAACCTTTGGACACAATGCTAAAAGAAGCTGGAAATAATACCAGCTAATTGGGGAGGATAGTCAAAACTTAAAGAATGACTCATGTGCTGAGTTATACATTTATATATCCTCTTTCTTGTCTCAGATTTGATACAGAAAAGTTTTCTTTGTGTAATTGCACAGTGGGCAGGGGCGGCAAAAACTCCTAGAGAAACCTAATGTTTCTGGCCAGAAGAAAGTAAAAGAGTCTCTCCTGGTTCTATCCTGAGGATAGCCCCACATGTGGACTGTGGAATCCTTGTTATGTTTTTTCTTCTTTTCTCTCAGTACTTTGTTGACCTCAAGAAACGTTCTGTTAATGTAGGCAACTTAGGCAATTTAAACTCCAAAAAAACAAAAAATCTTTCCTGCCAGAGGACTGGAAAAGGGAGCTATTCGGAGTTGGAGTGTACAGGCACAATCCCAGTAAGGGGAGAAAGGTCCTTATACTGTGTATGACTGGCACAAGGACTGGGCTCACCTCAGAGCTGCATATAAATAGACAAATTCAAAGCAATATTACAAAAACTTTGCAAATCAAACTGACATTGGAGCCACAAACCACACAAAGTAAGGCAGAACTTTTGATCTAACCCTAATGAGGTTAGTTCCTTGCTAAAACAAACAACAAAATCAACATTCTACAGTATTATAACAGGACTCTTAGAGTCTTCCAGCATAATATTCAGAATGTCCAGGATGCAAGCCAAAAGTACTCTGCATACAAAGAACCAGAAAAATGTGACCAATATTTAAAGGAATAGACAATCAACAGATGCTAACTCCAAAATGAACCAGCTGTTGGAATTCAAGTTAGATGAATACTTTAAAACAGTTATTATTACTATGCATATGAGGTAAAGGTAAACCCTTTTGAAATGAATAGAAATCTAGACTTTGAAGCAGAGAAATAGAAACTATAAAAGAAAACCATGAACTGCCATTTGACCCAGTTATCCCACTTATAGGAATATACCCTAAGAAGTCTAAAACACTAATCAGAAAGAATATATGTACCCCCGTATTTGTAGCAGCACTAGTTACAATAGTTAAGATCTGGAAACAACCCAGGTGTCCATCAGTAGATGAGTGGATAAAAAAGCTGTGATACATACACACAATGGAATACTTTGCAGCTGTAAGAAAGATCTCTTATCCTTTGAGATGACATGGAGGGATCTGGAGAGTATGATCCTAAGCGAAACAAGCCAATCAGAGAAAGACAAATATCACGTGATCTCACTTATTTGTGGAATATAATGAACAAAACAAACTGATCAGCAAAATAGACCCAGAGACATAGAAGTAGGGTACAGATTGATAAACCTCAGAAGGGGGGGGGGTAAGAGATAAACCACAGAACTTATATACATATATGCATAACAAATCGACATAGACAACAAAGTGGGGGGTGGAGTTGATGGGGAGGAAGGTGTCAATGGGGGAAAAAGGAGAAACATCTAATAAAAATAAATTAATAAAAATGTAAAAAACCAAATGGTAATTTTAGAATTGAAAATACTGCATCTAAAATAAAAATTTGTGGAACTTCTGGTCAAGATGGCGGGTAGGTAGATGCAGTATCACGTCCTCCCACAACCACATCATAGTTACAACTAAACTACAGAACAACCATCATCCAAAACCGCCTGAAATCAAGCTGAATGGAAGTCCTACAACTACGGAATTAAAGCAGCAGCCGCATCGAGACTGGTAGGAGGGGCGGAGGGGACGGGCTGGTCCCACACCCACGTGTGGCGGATAAAAATCAGGAGGACACCTTGGCTGAGAAGGTCCTCACTGAGGACTGAGGGGTTCCTGACCCACACCAGGCACCCCGCTCAGGATTCCAGTGCCAGGAAGAGAAGTCCCCATCACTTCTGGCTGGAAAAACCAGCGGGAACTGAGGCTCAGGGAGGCTGAGGCAGCTGGAGCCCCCGGCAGCTCCTTAAAGGGCCCGCGCACGGACTTATCAGACTCACTCCCTCTAAGCTTGGAGGGGAGGCAGCTCGAGGGGCAACAGAGACATACAGGGAAGAACTGAGTTGTTTGGCACTGGAGCGAGGGCTGGAGAGGGGGCTTTCTTCAGGACAAACATGCTGTCAGAGGCCTTTGTTCCTTTGGTGAGCCCTTCCCTGGGGTGGCAGACAGTTACCATATCTGAGACTCCAGGAACCTGGCTCACACTGGTTGCCCCACCTGATGATTCCCTGAGGCCCCGCCCCACCCAACTTTCAGGCCCATCCAAGCTGTTGCCAGTTGCTTTACCATATATTTGGCATGTCTTGGATCCTGCTTCAGGTTTTCCTAAATTCTTTCAAACGAGCAGCATCTGGTCTCAGCTAGCCCCATACCTCTTGTTAAGTAATACACAGAAAGACACACAGGGAGGCAGCCAAAATGAGGAGACAAAGAAACAGGTCCCAAATGAAAGAACGAACAAAACCCCAGGAAAAGAACTAAGTGAAATGGAGATAAGCAACCTAACAGATGCTGAGTTCAAAATACTGCTTATAAGGATGCTCAGTGAACTTAATGAGAACCTCAGTGAACTTAGTGAGGGCCTCAAGAGCATAAAAAAGGACCAGTCAGAAATGAAGGATGCACAGTCAGAAATGAAGGAGGCACTAACTGAAATAAATAATAATTTACACAGATTCAATAGTAGAGTAGATAAAGCCAAGAAGCAAACCATCGATTTGAAATATAAGGAAGCAAAAAACACCCAATCAGAACAGCAAAAAGAAAAAAGAATCCCAAAAAATGAGGATAGTGTAAGGAGCCTCTGGGACAACTTCAAGCATGCCAACATTCATATCTTGGGGGTGCCAGAAGGAGAAGAGCGAGAACAAGAAATCAAAAACCTATTTGAAACACTAATGGCAGAAATCTTCACTGACTTGGTGAAGGAAACAGACATACAAGCCCAGGAAGCACACAGACAGTCCCAAACAAGATGAAACCCAAGAGGCCCATACCAAGATACATCATCATCAAAATGCAAAAGGTTCAAGACAATGAGATTCTTAAAAGCACCAAGAGAAAAGCATTTAGTTACCTATAAGGGAGTTCTCATAAGACTGTCAGCTGATTTCTCAAAAAAAAACTTTGCAGGCCAGAAGGGAGTGGCAAGAAATATTCAGAGTGATGAAAAATAAGAACCTTCAACCAAGATTACTCTATCCTGCAAAGCTGTCATTTAGAATCTATGGACATATAAAGAGTTTCCCAGACAAGAAAAAGTTAAAGGAGTTTATCACTACCAAACTGTTATTATATGAAATGTTGAAGGGTCTTTTTGAAGAAAAAGATAAATTATATGAACAAACAAAATGGCAATGGATAAATATCTATCGACAATTGAATCTACAAATAAAATGAACAGGCAGAACAGACATATTCTCATAGATACAAAGAACATTTTCTTGGTTGCCAGATGGGAGGGGGATTGTAGAAATGCATGAAAAAGGCGAAGGGATTAAGAAGTACAAATTGGTTGATAGACTGACAAACCTCAAAGGGAAGGGGGTTGGGCGATGGGAAGAGATAAACCAAAGAACTTATATGCATAACCAGTGGACACCGACAACAGTGTGGGAAAGGGCAGGAGGGCATCAGGAGTGGGGAGGAGGGAATTAATGGGGGATAAATGAGGAACATCTGTAATACATTCAACAATAAAGATTAAAAAAATAAAATAAAAACTTGCTGAATGGATTCAGAATTAGAATGGACATGACAAAGAAAAGAGTGATTGAAACTTGAAGGTAGATAAACAGATATGAGCCAATCTGCAGAATGATGAGAAATAAATATTAAAAAATGAATGCGGGAAGGGGCATGGCCTCAGTTGGTGCCACCAGATTCTCTTCCTCTGGGCAGTGCTGTCAAAACCAACCTGCATGGGGCAGTCATGGCCTGCTTTGGGTGGACTGTGAGGTAGGTCAAGACAGGGCATGGCTGGAGGGCGGTGGCCCGGTGGGGGTGGGGATTAGGGTAGGGGCGAAACCGGATCTGGCTCCTCCTTCCTCTATATGTGGCTGTCTCCTGCAGAGCCGTTCTATTCTCACTCTCCTCGCGGCCAGTGAATCCTTGGGCTTCTCCGGTTCCCCTTGCATCACTGGAGCCATGCACTGGCCAAGACCAGTCCAGCAGCATCCTTCATGCCCAACAAGGACTGCAGCCACCCCAGGGTGTGGCCCAGAGGAAACCAGGTGATGGTGGTGCTCGCCTCGCAGTGGGGCAACAAAGGCAAGGGAAAGGTGGTGGATCTGATAGCGTAGGACACCGACATCTTGTGCTGTTGCCAGGGAGGAAACAGTTTGTAGATTCTGTGGAAAAAGATTTTCCACAGAATCTTTAATTAATCTAAATGTTACTGCATTAATTGGAAATAGTGTGGTAATTTATCTACTGGGATTATTTGAGGAAGCAGAAAAAAATGTTAAAAAAGAAAAAGGCCTGGAAGACTGGGAAAAAACCCTTATATCTGACAGAGCTCACATTGTATTTGATTTCCATTAAGCAGTTGATTGTATCCAGGAACAACAGAGACAAGAACAAGCAGGAAAGAATGTGAGTACCACAAAAAAGGGCATTGGCCCAGTTTATTCTTCCAGAGCTCCTCAGAGTGAACTCAGGTTGTACGATCTTGTTTCTGATTTTGATGGCTTCTCTGAGAGGTTCAAAGTTCTAGCAAACTAGTATAAATCTGTATACACCACTGTGGAAATAAACATTGAAAGTGAATTACAAAAACTTAAGGATTACATGGAAAGGATTAAACCAATGGTGAGAGATGGAGTCTATTTTCTATATGATGTTCTACATGGACCATCAAAGAAAATCTTGGTAGAAGGTGCAAATGTAACACTTCTAGATATTGATTTTGGAACTTACCCTTTTGTAATCTCCTCACACTGTACAGTTGGAGGTGTTTGCACCAGGTTGGGTAGGCCCCCTCAAAATGTTGGAGAAGTGTATGGAGTTGTGAAACCTTAACAAATAGAGTTGGTATTTGGTGCCTTTCCTACAGAGCAAGACAATGAAATTGGAGAATTATTACAAACACGGCATGGAGAGTTTGGTGTAATTACTGGAAGGAAAACAAGATGTGGCTGGTTGGACCTTGTTTTGCTTAAATATGCTTCTATGATTAACAGATTTACTGTGTTAGCACTTACCAAATTGGATATTTTGGATATGTTGATGGAAATCGAAGTTGGAGTTGCTTATAAGTTACATTATGAAATTATACCTCATTTTGCAGCAAACCAAGAGGTCTTAAATAAAGTTGTTCAGTATAAGACTCTTCCAGGATGGAACACAGACATATCAAATGCAAGGACGTTTAAAGAATTACTTGTTAATGCACAAAATTATGATGAGCTTCAAATTTCAGTTAAATAGATGGGTGTAGGGAAATCCGGAGAGTCTATGATTCAATTCTTCTAAGGATTTCCAGTGACTCAAGAAATACTCCATAAGAGATGGAAAAGGGCTTTCTTAAATATGTCATTTATGAGCTACATTTTCAAAAATAAAGATATTGATTTGAATTGTAAGCCCCATAGTTGTTTCCAGGCTTTTAAGGTGGCTGACTAGTGTGGAGATAAGCTTTGGAATATTCCATTGCCAGCTACCTTGCCTTGCATAATTGCTGAAATCTTCTCTTGCTCCTGCTGCTCATGGTGCCACACTTTCTTTAATGTTTACTAATAGTATAATCCATGTTGTTTGAAATCTATAATAGAATTCTTTCAATGTAGTTCTTCATTATTGTCATTGTGTTCATAGGTTTTACCTTTATTAAATGGTAAGAACAATTAGCGCAATCTTGTACAAATATTTTTACATTATGATCCTTCAGTTCTGTCATTGTAATCTTTGTGTTTAGAAAATTGATAAGAAAGGAGTTCTGTAAACTTTTGTAATGCTATAAATTCCATTAAATTGTGAATTGTTTATTTTCTGCTGAGACCATTGCAAATTTGAGCTTTGGTGGGGGTGGGTGATATATTTATGGGTCCTTTAATTTGTACAGAACATAAAACTTATTTCTCTCTATAAATTATTGACTACATTGAAAATTTAATTAAATGTGCAAAGAGAAAAGGTATTTCCTAAAACAGTACTCTTAAAAATAGTTGTTAAGTACTGCTGGTATGGCTCAATAGTTGAGCACTGACCCATGCACCAATAGGTCACTAGTTTGATTCCCTGGGCACATGCTCAGGATGTGGGCTTGATTTCCAGTGGGGGATATGCAGGAGGCAGCCGATTGATGTTTCTCCCTCTCTCTCCCTCTCCCTTCTTCTCTCTTAAAAAAAAATTAATAAAAATATATTAAAAATTATTTTTAAAGCCTTGGCAAGTTTGGTTCAGCAGTTAGAGCATTGGCCCATGGACCACAGAATTGAGGGTTTGATTCCAGTCAAGGGCACATACCTCGGTTGCAATTCTGTCCCCGGTCCTGGTTGGGATCGTGCGGAAGGCAACCAATCAGTGTGTCTCTCTTATATCAGTTTCTTTCCCTCTTCCTCTTTTTCTCTTTTTCTTCCTCCCTCTTTCCCACTCTTTCTGAAGATAAATGGAAAAATATCCTTGGATGAGGATTAAAAATAATAGTCATTAAAAGATCTATTGTGATATTTGGTTAATATTTTTCTTTAATTTCACATATTAACTCTGAAACGTATAGCTTCCCTATTTTATCTTACCATTATTTCTAAATCTAGTAGATTGTTATTTCAACATTGTGCCTGTCAATATGCCTACAGAATCATCTGTAAGTGTTCAAATGAACCCATAGAAACTAACAGAGAGAGGCAGCCAAATGAGGAGAAAAAGAAGAGCTAAATGAAATTGGAGGTAAGCAATTTATTGATACAGAGTTCAGAGTAATGATTATATGGATGCTCAACAGCATGAAAAGGACACAGAAACCATAAAAAAGGACCAGTCAGAAATGAAGAATGCCATATCTGAAATAAAGAACACACTGGAAGGAATTAATAGTAGGCTCAATGAAGCAGAGGATTTGGAAGACAAGGTAGAAAAAAATACCCAATCAGAGCAGCAAAAATAAAAACGAATTTTAAAAAATTAGTATAGTTTATTGGACCTTTGTAACAATATGAAACATTATATCCATGTCATAGGGGTACCAGAAGGAGAAGAGAGCAAGGGATCAAGAACCTATTTGAAGATGTAATGACTGAAATTTTCCCTACCCTGGTAAAGGAAAAAACATATACATTCCAAACAAGGTGGTCCCAAAGATGACCACACCAAGACACATCATGATTAGAATGGCAAATGTTAAAGACAGAGAATTTAAAAGCTGTAAGAGAAAGGCAGTCAGTTACCTATAAGGGAGTTCCCATAAGACTTGTCAGCTGATTTCTCATCGGAAACATATCAGGCCAGAAATGATTGGCATGAAATATTCAAAGTGATGAAAAGCAGGACCTACAAGCAAGTCTACTTTACCAGCAAGGCTATTATTTAAAATTGAAGAAGAAATAAAGAGCTTCCATGTCAAGAAAAAGCTTAAGGAGTTTGTTACCACCAAACCAGTATCATAAGAAATGTTAAAGGGCTTGCTTTAAGAAGAAGACGAAGAAGGGGAAGAGGAGGAGGAAGGGGGAATAAAATAGAGGAACATAGTTAAAAAAATAAAATGGCAATAAATATGTACCTGTCAATAACCACTTTAAATGAAAATGGCTTAAATGCTCCAATTGAAAGACATAAGGTAGCTGAGTAGGTGAGAAAACGAGACCCATATATATGCTGTCTTCAAGAAACCCACCTCAGAATAAAAGATATACATAGACTAAAAGTTATGGGATGGAAAAAGATATTTAATGCAAATGGAAAGGGGAAAAAAGCTGGGGTAACAATACTTATATCTGACAAAATAGACTTTAAAACCAAGGTCTTAGTAATAGTTAAAGAAGGAGACTCTATAATGATAAAGGAAACAATCCAACAAGAGGATATAACCCTTGTAAACATTTATGCACCCAACTTAGGAGCACCTAAACATGTAAAGCAAATCTTGATGGACACAGTAATACAGTTATGGTAAGGAATTATAAAACCCCATTGACATCAGTGGATAGATCTTCCAGACATAAAACCAACAAGGAGATGTTGACCTTAAATGATTCTCTAGAACAATGAATTTATTGATGTCTTCATAGCATTTCATTCCATGTATGTTGCAAAGCATACATTATAATCAAGTGCCCATGGAACATTTTCTAGATAGACTACTTGTTAGGACACAAAACAAGTCTCAATAAATGTAAGAAGATTGGAATCATATCAAGCATCTTCTCTGACCATAATGCTATGAAACCTGAAGTCAGTCACAGGAAGAAAACATGAAAAACACACAAAGACAAGGAGGCTAAATAACATGTTACTAAACAATGAATGAGTTAACAATGACTTCAAGGAATAAATAAAAAAATACCTTGAAACAAATGAAAATTAGAAAACAACAACCCCAAATCTGTAGGACACAGTGAAAGCAGTCCTAATAGGGAAATTTATAACATTACAGGCCTATCTTAAGAAACAAGAAACATCTCAAATAAACAGTCTTTAACTTTACACTTAAAGGAACTTGAAAAAGAGCAACAAACAAAGCCCAGGGTGGGTAAAGGGAAGGAAATAATAAAGATCAGAGCAGAAACAAATGAAAAAGTGTCTAAAAAAAACAAAAAATTAATGAAGCCCTGGCTGGTTTGGCTCATTGGTTAGAGTGTCGGCCGCGGACCAGAGACCCGGGTTCGGTTCCCAGTAGGGGCATGTACTTCCGTTGTGGTTCGTCCCTGGCTCCAGTTGGGGTCGTGTGGGTGGCAACCACTCGCTGTGTCTCTCTCACATCGATGTTTCTCTCTTTTCTTCTCTCTCTTCCTCCTGCTGTATCTGAAGATACATGAAAAATAAATGTCCTCAGGTGAGGATAAAAAAAAAGACAAAATATTAATGAAACCAAGAACTGGTTCTTTGGAAAGATAAATAAGATTGACAGACTTAACCTGTCTGATCAAGAAAAAAAAGAGAGGACCGAAATAAATAAAATCAGAAGTTGAAAGAGGAGAAGTAACAACTGACACCAAAGAAATACAAAGGACTGTAAGAAAATATGGCAAAAAAATGGGTAATCTGGAAGAAATGGATAAATTTCTAGAAACATACTATATTCCAACACTAAATCAGGAAGATTCAGAGAATCTGGATAGATGGATTACAAGTAGTAAAATTGAAGCAGGAATTAAAACTTCTAATAAACAAAAGCCCTGGACTGGATGGTTTTACAGGTGAATTTTATCAGACTTTGAAAGAAGAACTAACACCTGGCCTTCTCAAACTATTCCAAAAAATTCAAGAGAATAGAAGACTCCCAAGCTCATTTAACGAGACCAGCATTATCATAATTCCGGAACCAGATAAAGACATGACAAAGAAAATCATAGGCCAATATCTCTGATAAACATAGATAATATCTTCAACAAAATATTAACAAACTGCATCCAGCAATAAATTAAAAAATTATACTC